TGGGGCACAACTACCTGTGCTCCTGCCTCTCTGTGCAGACATTGGGTGCCTCTTCTTGTCTGTTCCAGTTTCAGTGAGAAGTTTAGAGGTAGCTTGTCGAGCTCCTTATGCAACAAGGGAACTGTTGGCATCCTTACTGGGACGGCACTCATGCACGGGTCTGCACAGAAGAGTCGCCATCTTTGTGACTTCAGATGCTCCTGTCCAAGGACATCGCGGGTCACCACGGGTGACCGCAGATACGCTCCCTAGTTCACGTCAGCTGATGAGCGATCTCCGTCCCGCCTGCAGCTTCAGTTCCAAGAACATCTTGAGTCTTCCCAGTTGTAAGAGCTCCTTCTGGGTGGCCTCTGAAGTGTTCTAGAGTTCTCTGCAGGAAGGCCGTGCACACGTCTCAAGTTTGCTCCTCCGCCTTGTCTCATCTCTGTCTCTAGTGTGGATGAGCCTTGTCCCGCGATGCGTCTTCTGCTTCTTGTTAGCAGGCGTGCTTTCTGCGTGTTGTCTGACTCCGTCACCCGCACTGATCCTCTTCCTGCTGGTGGTGGTTTTACAGCTGATTCTCCCGAGTTTGCCCAGCGAACACTCATCCTCTTGCAAATGGTGGTTTTACCCTCCTCTCCTCTGTCCATTTTTAGCTCAAACTTCCTTTTCTTGCCTCTGGTCTCTTCAGTGCAACTTAAAGCAGTATTGGACTAACAGCCATGCCTCGTCTCTGATGTTAGTGAGAACCCCACTCTCCTGCTGAGGACGGTCCTCACTGGCCACAGTCCAGGTGTCAGGCGGGCTCGATTCCTGATGGAGGTTGTCAGAGGGTGCCCGTTTCTTCACCTCGTCCAGCTCCTGCAGGCTGCCCGCATCCCTGGCTAGGAGCCCCTCCTGCATCTTCTAAGGAAGCGCTGTTACAACCAACCCCCTATTTTCTAGATTTTCTTCAGAGATTCTGTAGGGACAAGAGGAAGGGGCGACATGCTAAGGAAAGGGTTTGGGGTCTGTGATCAGCTCGTGGACATTCTTCTGATTGGCTGGTGGTGAGGTACCTGGGAGTCAGCAGCGTCCACCTTCTGGTTCCAGCCAGTCTGGGGTCTGCACACTGGTGGGCAGCATGCAGTTAACTTCTTCCGCCTGGTAGGGGTTTAGTGTCTGTAAAACAGGTCAAAGGACATAGCTCAGAATATGACCTGCAGCCCTTGAGGAGGAACAAAAGTTCCTTTGTTTAGCGGCTACACTGTTATTATTTTGTTTTGCTTAACTATTATCCTTTGTTTCGGCATTTTTAAACTTCTTTGATTAAATTTATTCTTAGCTATTTTTTTTTCCAGACAAGAAGCCAGCAGAGGAAATAGGGGGCTTTGTCCTGGGATGGCCCCATAGGGTCCTGCCCAGTTACAGGGACAGAGAGAGGAAAAGTTGAAACCGATTTTCAACAGACATAGAACACAGTGGGTTTCCTTCTGTGGCCTTGGATGACCCAGCCTCTTTCCTGCTAATTAATTTTAGCCTTGATTTTAAAAAAAGGTCGTAAAATCTTTGGAGGTAGAGTTCCAAGTAATTTGAAAATGTAGTTTTTGTACTCAGTCCATCCATTTAGCTTTTTAGAGTACATTTTAACCTCTTCCATCAAAAGCGACCATTTAGAGGGGGTGGTATAGCTCAGTGGGGGAGAGCATGCTTAGCATACAGGAGGTCCTGGGTTCAGTCCCAGTAACTCCATCAAAAAAAAAAAGGAGAGGAACTAAAAAAAGTAACTATTTAGTGAATAGGAGAAGGTGACTGGAGCGCAGGGTTGGCGCTCACCCCTTGTGCCTAGAGCACAGAGGATGCAGGCGGGTGTGAACCCAGGCGGGACCTGCCGCCCGCCAGGTCGAGTCTGTCCCCGGGCCCTGTGGTGAAGTCAGGTGTCCAGGCTGCAGCGGCCCCTCACTTGCTATGGACTGTCCCTTCCTTCCTCCCAGGAGGTCAGCAACCGCATCTCCAGCCACATCCCCTTGATCATCCAGTACTTTGTGCTGCGGTCGTTCGGCCAGCAGCTGCAGAAGGGCATGCTGCAGCTCCTGCAGAACAAGGACGAGTATGACTGGCTTCTCAAGGAACGCAGCCACACCAGCGACAAGAGGAAGTTCCTGAAGGAGCGGCTGTCGCGGCTGACCCAGGCTCGGCGCCGGCTCGCCAAGTTCCCTGGGTAAACCGGCCCTCCGGCCCGTCCAGGGTCTCCAGGACACATCCCCAGGGAGTGGAGGACCAACGTCTTTCCCTGGTAGCCTCGAATCATTAGCGACCCATTTCACAGATGCCTGAGCGACTAGTAGGTTCTCTGTTCTTAGTGAGTGAGGACTTTGTAAGGAGCTGTGACGAGCACGTGGGCTTCAGGCATCCAGCGATTTTCTTGCTTGCTCTTCCCCTTCCCTGAACTCTCTCCCTCTCTTCGTCAGATACTCACCCATGCACCCGCATCCTAGACGGGTCTTCCTGCTTTCTGTAATAGCCTTTCACACCGACGTTTTAGGGGCATTAGTGCCACGTGAGACTGCACACCGAAGCCTGTTTCTTCAATTTTTAATAAAGTCATTTTTCCCAGACGTTTCTCTGACACGTTCTTTATTTGGGTGAGGAAGTTGTAAATGACAGCAGGTGGGAACCAGGGGAGCGGTCGATGGGCGCTGAGGCTGCCCTCCATGCTGGGTCAGGTGAGAAAGAACACTTGAGCAAAGGAATGCGCTCAGTTATGTACAAGAGGCTGGAGGGAAATGGGGAACAAAGTTAAGAAATGGAGCAGAATGGGGAGCAATGGGCAGTCGCCGTTTATAATGTGTGCTGCTCAAGTGTGCAGTCGGCTTCATCACCGGGCACCTGGCACAGGGCTGAAAGGTACAAGCCAGAGTCCAGAGGGGTCGCTGCCCCCCCAGTGGGGTTTCGCAGGAGGTGCAGGGCCAGCAGGCAGGGAGGGCAGAACATTCAGCATGAGCTGCCCAAACAGCACGGTGGGGTCCTGACTGCCCCCCTGGACTGAGCAGAGCTGGGGACACTCACAGGCACCTGGTCAGAGAGGGAGTGACTGCCTGGATATCTGTCCACTCCCAGGCCAAGCTGGACAACCATCCAGCCCCCGCCCACCCTCCATCCCAGGTCCCTCTGACACTCAGGGCTCAGTGATCTCAGGGCTTTGGGACGCTGTGGAATTTATGCACAAGAGAGGTCGTTCAGGCTCCTCGGCGCCCCCTCGTGTCTGGCCTGAGTAACTGCTCCAGTACCAGGCATCCTGGCCACCAAGGGCAGCATCTGCCTGGACCCGAACCAGCCAGAGGGATCAGTGTTGCCAAGGGTTCTTTTGCTGCTGTTTCAGTTTTCCCAGAGAGTCCTCCGCAGGATGGAGGGAGAAAGCCGGCAGTAGTGCTTCAGAGATCGGGGACTTCCCCAGGGAACAAGTCAGCACTTACAAGGTGCTGACAGTTGCTTTCCTTTTGGCCACAAGGAGCAGGGGTCTCGGTGCCCCCAGGCCTGTCTGACCAGCCAGCGATAGGGGGAAAGTACACCGTCCCTCCTCCCAAGGAGGGACAGGGAGAGACAGCCCTGAAGTCCACTCAGTGTGACCCCTCACTCAGTGGGGGTGGGGCTCAGACAAGCTGTGAACTGCCCCTCCCCCGTCCCCCATCCCCATCTCCACCCATGAGGGGCAGCTCTGGGATCAGAACCTGCATCTCCAGACCCTGCTGCCTGCTCCACAGCACCGGCTCGAAGGTCCATCAACCTGTGCAGAGCAGACTAGATTAGCACAGATGCCCACTCACGGGCCCTCCAGGCAAGCCTGGGGCTCAGTTCACCTCGTAGGACAGAGCTGAGTTCGGAGCAGAGCAAGGAGAGGGGCCAGATAACACTGGACTGACCAGCGCAGGGCCTGACGTCAGCAGGTGCTCAGTAAATGCTCTGGGATGGAGTGGGTGTGGGTACACTGGGCACTTGTCCAGATGACCTTCTGGATTCGTGACTATCTTCTAAGATGCTATGGAGCACCTGCCTTTATTATTTTCCTCCTGGAGCAAAAAGCAAAAACAAAAGCAACCGGACAGCCAGGGTGAATTTCCTCCATCAGTTTCTGTTTGGGGGGAAAGGAATCCAGTCCAAGTGGCCGGTTGGCCAGCAGGGAGCTGTAAGGCAGCAGAAGGGGCAACGGCCTTGGCTTTCCGTGGTTCAGTGGGTCCAAATGGATCAGTGGATTCTCAGGGGATTGTAAGAACAGGGCCTTTAATCATAGCAAAGCAATGGCTCAAACACCAAAATTCATGGGGTTAATTCATGTTAAATGAGGTAGCTGGTACGCAGTGAATATTGTAAATGTTTCTTTGGGAGCCACATAAATTGTAGCCCTTTGGTTAAAACACCGGTTGAACCCGGGGGAGAGCTCTGGCCGGTGTCACCTCATGCGTCACCGTCTCTGGGTCCAAAGCCGAAAGTGCCGTGGTCTTGGGATTTGACTCCGAGCCAGGGTGTGTGCGGCTCCTTTACAAAGTCAGATTCAGGGGTAAAGCCTCGGTCAGAAGGGAAAACGTCTCTGAAATCGGGGTCAGGTCAGGGAAACCATAGGAGAGCCAGAAGGAAAGAGCTGGGAACAGACCAGGGACCTGAGTTGAAAGCCTAGATTACGGGGGTGCCCTCCCTCCCCGTAGCAGCTCAGGGAGAAGCGGATCCAGGGGGATTCGTTTTCTGCTCTGGACTCACCACCTGCTGCAGCTGCGAGGAGCAAGGAAATGAGCAGCCCAGATCCCACGCTTTTATTAAGACCCGTCTTTCCACTTTAGTCAGTATTGGGCGTTGATTTGTATCAAGCAAGTTAACTTCTGTCTCTATTAAATGTTTAAATACAAAAATGTCAGCATTTCCTAGTCTCAGCATCCTGGCTGATCTTTTAAGGGAAGCCAGCCTCCTCCCAAAGTAAAGCCATTCACGAGGGGGCTCCGGAGTGACATGCATGATGTAACTCCGAAGGGCCAGCGCCTTGCCCACGTGGACAATTTTAGGTGAGCGGTCGA